TCAAGTAGTTTTTGGGAGTGGAGACACAAGTTGGGAAGTTTATCGGTTGGTAAACATACATTTGGTAGTTTGTGAGATGATAGATATAATTTAGGTGCATACATAAGTTGGGTAGATTGTGGGAGTACAGACGTAAGTTAGTTGGGTGGTTTGTGGGAGTACATACATAAGTTTGGTAGTTTGTGGGAGTACAGACATAAGTTAGGTAGTTTGTGGGAGAATACACATAAGTTGGGTGGTTTGTAGGAATACAAACATAATTTGGGTGGTTTGTGGGAGTACAGACATAAATTGGGTAGTTTGTAGGAGTACAAACATAATTTGGGTAGGTTGTTGGAGTACAGATATAATTTGAGTTGTTTGTTGGATTACAGACGTAAGTAGGGTGGTTTGTGGGAGTGCAGACATACGTTGGGTGTTTTTTTGGGAGAATATGCATAAGGTGGGTGGTTTGTGGGAGGATATACGTCAGTAGGGTAGTTCGTGGTAGGGTAGACATAATTTAGATAGTTTGTGAAACGTTAAGTATAATTTGGGTTGTTTGTGAGAGGATAGCCATAAGTTGGGTAATGTACAGATATACATTAGGTAGTTATTCGGAGGATATACGTCAGGTGGGTAGTTTGAAGGTGGTGAGACGTACAGAGGGTAGTCCGTGGGAGGGCAGACATAATTTAGGTAGTTTGTGGAAAGATCGACGTAAGTGGTGCGTACTTTTGGGTTATATCTGTTATGTAGTTTATAAAACATGGCTAGTACTAATGTTATCATGTACAAATACAGGTGTATGTCAGTGGTATAATAAAGGTGTATATCCTGGTTGTATCTGAGTTAGATTCATGAATTAATTTCTTGATATCAAGGATCCACTGTAGCTACTAACACATAACCACACTCATCAAGATGACATCTGTAGTTAAAATCTGTCTTCAGGGTGAATGAGTTAAGTGCTCCGCAGTGGTACAGGTTATTCAAGAACAAAATATCCATGCATGGAGAGTTTTGAAACATTATGTAAAATACTGAAACATAAGAAAACTTGAAAACTTCATTTTCACTTTAACTTTTGGCTACTTATAAGATAATGTTTCTTTATGTGGTATTTCATTTGTGCCATGTCAGAATAAATCCCCGCTACAAGGTTACGGCCAGTCTCGGAAAATGACATTCCACCAACAGTGTTAAACACCTAGTGACGTTATCAGCAGTTAGTAAGATACAAAGTAACCAAGCAGCTATCTCAATCAGTTAGCGATTCGGAGCAGAAAGTCAGAAAGATTTACTGTACCATATGACCACTTTGTCCATTTAGGACACCTCAGTTAAGGTCAAAAGAGGAAGCTGTTTATATAACAAGTTTGACGTTACTACTATAACAGCGTTCTTCCTATAACAGATATATTAAACTCTACTGTACCAGACACGTGCTCTTAACATCCTCAAAACATAAAATACATTTAAACATCAACCTTTCCCCTTTAGTTCGGAGAAAACTATAAACATGTCAAAATTCACATCTTTACGAAGGATAAAACTCTTTAAAACTATACCTGTCGATCAAAAACGAAACCAAAACTAAGCTACTGCTTTCGCTGTGCTTTTCCACGAAAAGCCTTCACACACTACCCGGTATGTACGTTTGTTATGTTTTGTTGGATGACAGCCAACTAGGTCAACACCACCTCATCAATAAGCTCGGTGCATCATGTGACTAAAATTGTGCATTCTGAATAATCTAACGACAATCAAAGTTTTAACGAGTACGTGGATGATGTGGTATTCCCTATTTATCTAGCGTGCTATTAACTTAGCATAAATTTGGAGTTTAGAATTCTGATCGGTGGACTCTTTGTGATCGTATGTGAATGAACACGCCACGTGTAAGCTGCTAGCCATACTTGTTTATTATGAACGATGGGTATGGCATACCGTACACCTTTCCCGTCTAGTTCGGCCTACTGTTCTTTTTTTCTATTCATTTGACGATTTAATAGCTCCACCTGTGTTATCTATCCTTGGAATTCCCTGCACATACAATATCTATTTAGCTAATTTTCAATAGTTATATTAGGATTGCTAAATATCCATGAAATCACCCTTTTGAGTATGATATATAATAAGGACCCTTTTGGGTATTTTATATAACGAGTACGGTTTCATATATATATAATTGACATACAATTGTATGACGATGATACCATTAGTATCACAAAGCCCCCAACAGGGGATATGTCAAGACAAAATCAAAGACTCATACGATATCTCGAGGGTGAAGTAAGTAGGATAGTTACAGCTAAACAATAAAATCCACAGGTTTTGAGGTTTGAAAATTATAAAAAGACTACATCAAACTTCAAAACCTGTGGATTTAAGGCTACATCTTACTTCACAACCTGTGGATTTTGTTTATAAAGGAAAGACTACATCTTCCTTCAAAACCTGTGGATTTTGAGTATTATAGAAAGACTACACCAGACATCAAAACCTGTGGATTTTAAATATTAAAGAAAGGCTATATCAAAGGACAAGTATTAGATTTATGATTTGTTAATTCTATACCTGAAACCGATCAAACAAGCTAATCGCAAGCCTCCGTCTTTGTCATGATATATCCTAATGTGCAGGGAAGACGTGTATATCTAAAACAGGACCCGTAGATTTAGAAATTGTATTTTTGCTGATATATTGTTATCAAGTTTTATTACCATTATAAATTGTAAAATAAAGAAGGGCAGTTACGTCTGGTGTTTCCATGTTCATTTCAATGATCATAAGACAACATTCGATCCTATGTTTAACTTGTTAACAGGACAACATTTCACAAGTTACAGATTTCTTTTTATTACAGAATCTGTGTAGTGAAAATCTAACCTTTACACACCTAACATACATGTACATACTGGTGACGATGCAACAAAACAAAGTATAACTCAACATTGTCACGTCTGTAAGAAAGTAGAAAACATTTCGGAAGTTATAGAAATTTTAGTACAGATTCTGTATAGTGAAATATACTCGTTACAACCCCTAACAGTTATTTATATCAATTAACACACCTTAAATGAACGTAACAAGGTTACGTTGACACACATGTTAAGTGAATAAAAGATAGATTTGAAAATACAAATAAAACAAAAAAAGACTAATAGATTGACGAACATAGGTTATACTGTCACACCTGCTGACTTGCTGACATAAAAACACACGATGTACAGGTGTGGTTTTAAGAAAAGCATAACTCTTTGAATACCTCTTGTTCCAAGTTGATAATTGAAACAAGGGCCATAACTCGTGCGAGTATATCGCTTGAGACGTAGCTCAACCCGAACTACATTTAAAATAGAAATTATTGGTTTTACCGTCATTCATTTTATTGCTAAGTTAACAAAACTAAATCTTTCGCTTTTTGCCAGGAGTAAAGTTGTCTGTTTTACCTTAAAACATATATATATTAGCTTTATATTTAGCTTTTGTCAGAGTTGTTGAGGAGCTTTTAGTTGAATAGCTTTACAAACTGTACTCCAACAAAGTTCTTTACATTAATACAACACAACCTGTATACAATGTACATCTATAGTATACTTTTATTCCCACACAAGTTACATATAGTCATGAACCAATATATAAGAACATTACATCTATCTCCCTAAATATTGTGTTGGATTTTCCAAAAGGTCTTAAATTTTTACTACGAATCAATAAGCCTTAATGTGTGTACATGTTGATGTGAAATAGGTGAATAACTGGGTTTTTTCTTCTTATTTTTTACATATTTCGTCTGCCGTATCATCTATTGCGATTTGTGATCACGAGTTACACAGCTGTTTGAGATATGATTATCTGACGAAAACCCTATCTATATGACAATGCTATGCTATCTTAAAAGGTTTAACTAAACATATTTGTCAATGGCGTTAAATTAAGATTGATGAATTATAATTTGACTTCACATCCAACTTAATTAGTTCATTACTTATCTAAATATACACACACATTCGCGATAAAAAAAGACAGAACTATATTACTTGAGAATAAATCTTTAGGGACGGTGCAAGCTAGCCATTTGAGCGTTTTCCTAGAGCTGGTTCCACGACTAAGGTATATTTAAACTGTCCTGTCTTAAGGCAAGTAATGTTTTGTTGGTTTATCATTTGGAGACACTGCAAGGGCAGTCTATGCAGTCAGGTATACGCAAGGAGATTGAGTCAACTTGTATTAAGAGAAGACCATCGCGAAATCCAAAAGAAGGTGTTCTTACAACACAGGTGATCTCTTAATACAGATGTAGTTCACAATTATAAGTGGTCATTTAACACAGATAGTTTTCTAATAAAGGTTGTCGCATGAGCAGATACACCTGTATACGCTAGGAGGTATATGTAAGCAGACAGTACGTTGATGTAGATTGAAAATCAAAACCGAAACTAAACCAGAGCTAGTTCTACGAAAAAGAAACATCTACCCTGAATAATCGGTTTGTAGTCATGTGACGTATTGTTGTACGTGTACATCAGCCAGAACTAGTTTGACGTCACTGGTACGCTGCCCCTCGGCAATGATGATAAGTGTGCCTGCATGTACTAAAATAACATATTTGTTTATTTTATTATAAAATTATGTCAACTTACCTATTGCTTGAGTTCATTTTGAATAGTGCAAGCAGTTTTAGTAGCAAGTTATATAGGGGATATATCGGGGACACGCCCAGTGTATATGTTGTGTATTCCTGTTAATTGTATACAGCATTCATTGATATCTATACAATTACAGTCAAAGCTGCTCTCTCAGTAAGAAGAGATACTACGAATATTTTCAAACGTTAGGCTCTGCGTCTCGGTACCACATGAGGAGGGGCGCCCTACATTTTATATAAGATGTGATTCCCTGATCCCTAGGATGATCCATAACAATTTTGGTTAGAATAGCTTTTTTTTTAAACGTAAACACACAATTGGTCCTTTCACGGCATTGCCCGTCGGCTCCCTAGGGATATACTAGTTTCCCATACACTACAATTGATTTCAAAGTCCGAAAGACTAAGTATGTTTCATAACAAAAAGGTATAACGCGTAAGATAGTCTGGGCACGGTCTAAAAACAAGATTGTAAGTGTATTCGGTGACTCCGCGTCTTGAAATAGTAAATATACGCTCACTGTGGCATCGCCGAGTAATACTAGAAAAGACGATTCCGCCGCGGAATATATCTTCATTAGAAAGAAAGACCATTACATTACAATTGAAGTCATGACCTTTCCGCTTTTGTATGGTGGCTTGGTAGTGCAAAATAACATCTCGTAATCTACGTATTCGACCTAAGGGAGACGACATGCAAATACGTCGGCGGCAACCAAGCAACATGTCATCTTCTCGCTCCTTCGTTGTCGTATCCATATCTTCTTAATAGACTCTAGACTGATTAAGAGATGCAGTGAGCTTTCTGTAATATTCCATAAAATGTTTACAGAGTGACTGAAACGTTGCTTATTATTAACTGTTCTTGAATTTATGCACAGCGTATAGTTCTGGTAGAAACCTGGACAATGATCAGCAAGCAGTATATGGTAATAGGGTGGGGATCTAAACCGTTCCCATGTTCTGACCCAAAGACAAAGTCCCCAATGACAGGAATAAACCTTTTGGTCCAGTCCAGCAGCAGCAATTGTTTATATGGTTATTAGGTAGGGATCTAAAACAAATTCTGTTTGAATACAAGAGCCTAAGTACCCTGGGGTGGTGTCAGACCCGTGAACCTACCTGATAGTATGTGTATATATAAAGGACACTTAATTTACATTAATTGACAAATTTAAAAATGAACGTAACAAGGTCAATTTGACGCACATGTAAAGTGAATAGAAGATAGATTTGAAAATACAAACAAAGCAAAAAAATCACTAATAGATTAACGAATATAGGTAGCACTGCACTGTCTCACCTGCTGACTTGAAAACATGATGTACAGGTGTGATTTTAAGATAACATAACTCTTTGGATACTTCTTGTTCCAAATGAAATTTCTGTCAAATCTGTTACGACCTCCTCGCATTGGTTCTTCAGTTTTTCATAACAAAGCGAGTCATTCCTCTCCTTTGTTCTGTAATATACTTGATTGATCAAGAGGCCTTGATCAGGGCCTGTATTGATCAAGATGCCCTGATCAGGGCCTGTACTGTTCACCTCGATGTTTAGGCAGTGGTGGTTAAATTCTCTCAGTAAGAAGAGATACTACGAATATTTTCAAACGTTAGGCTCTGCGTCTCGGTACCACAGGAGGAGGGGCGCCCTACATTTTATATAAGATGTGATTCCCTGATCCCTAGGATGATCCATAACAATTTTGGTTAGAATAGCTTTTTTTTAAACGTAAACACACAAATGGTCCTTTCACGGCATTGCCCGTCGGCTCCCTAGGGATATACTAGTTTTCCATAAACCACAATAGATTTTAAAGTCCGAAATACTTTTGTATGGTTGCTTGTTCTGACCCAGAGACAAAGTCCTAAATGACAGGAATAAACCTTTTGGTCTAGTCCAGTAACAGCAATTGTGTATATGGTATGCCATTTAAAAACACGGTAAGGGCAGTCTATGTAGTGAGGTATACGTAAGGAGATTGAGTCAAACTTGTATTCAGAGACTACCATCGAGAAATCCAACAGGAGGTGTTCTTACAACACAGGTGGTCTCTTAATACAGATGTAGTTCACAATTATAAGTGGTCATTTAACACAGGTGGTCTCTTAATACAGATGTAGTTCACAATTAAAGGTGGTCATTTAACACAGGTGGTCTCTTAATACAGATGTAGTTCACAATTATAAGTGGTCATTTAACACAGGTGGTCTCTTAATACAGATGTAGTTCACAATTAAAGGTGGTCATTTAACACAGGTGGTCTCTTAATACAGATGTAGTTCACAATTAAAAGTGGTCATTTAACACAGGTGGTCTCTTAATACAGATGTAGTTCACAATTAAAGGTGGTCATTTAACACAGGTGGTCTTCTTATAGAGGTTGTCGCAAGAGCAGATACACATGTATACGCTAGGAGGTATATGTAAGCAAACAGTACGTTGATGTAGATTGAAAACATCAAAAGCGAAACTAAACCAGAGCTTGTTCTACGAAAAAGAAAACATCTACCCTGAATAACCGGTTTGTAGTCATGTGACTCATTGTTGTACGTGTACATCAGCGAGAACTAGTTTGATCTCACAGACACTCAGCCCCTCGGCAATGATGGTAAGTGTTACTGCATGTACTAAAATAACATATTTGTTTATTTTATTATATGTCAACTTATCTATAGCTTGAGTTCATTTTGAATAGTGTAAGCAGTTTTTCCTTTAGTTACAAGTTATATAGGGGATATGTCGGGGACACGCCCAGTGTATGTGCTGTTTATTCCTGTTAATTGTATACAGCATACATTGATATCTATACAATTACAGTCAAAGCTGCTGCGACTTACTCCTCTGGTCTTTTTGGAACTATACCATTGTAGGCATCTAATGTTCTGTTGGTATGTCATTTACGTATTGTTGTACGTGTATATCAGCGAGAACTAGTTTGACTTCACTGACACCCGGCCCCTCGGCTATGACGGTTAGTGTTGCTGCATATGACTAATAGCATACGTTATTATTTGTTCTATGTCGAATTAGCTGTTGTTTTAGTTTAAAATAAGTATATCGCCAATATTGCTTGTGGCGCCCTTAACAACCGTATGTTTGGGTGATACGTCCCGGTTGTGAGGGAACACGCGGGGACCCGATAATTTATTACAGTATGGCAATATTTTGACCTTAACTGATGTGTTGAAAGTAATAAAACGCATTTGAATTGTTTTCATTAGTTTTCGGTAAAATAGGCCACCCCTTATGATGATATACAGGTATATAACATCATTGGGGTGACATTTTGTCCGTTGAATTCCAAATAGCGTTATACTGTAACACGTTCTTAGGCCTCTGTGATGGACACTCTTAGTATATGCTAGCCATTCCTGTGTATTGTTTACCACAAAATCAATGAAATTTCTGTCAAATCTGTTACGACCTCCTCGCATTGGTTCTTCAGTTTCTATAACAAAGCGAGTCATTCCTCTCCTTTGTTATGTAATATACTTGATTGATCAAGATGCCTTGATCAGGGCCTGTACTGTTCACCTCGATGTTAAGGCAGTCGTGGTTAAAAAAAATCATTAAGAAGAGATACTACGAATATTTTCAAATGTTAGGCTCTGCGTCTCGGTACCACAGGGGAAGGGGCACCCTTCATTTATATAAGATGTGATTCCCTGATCCATAGGATGATACATAACAACTTTGGTTAGAATAGATTTTGTTAAAGACGTAAACACACAAATAGTCCTTTTACGGCATTGCCCGTCGGCTCCCTAGGGAGATGCTAGTTTCCCATACACTACAATTGATTTCAAAGTCCGAAAGACTAAGTATGTTTCATAACAAAAAGGTATAACGCGTAAGATAGTCTGGGCACGGTCTAAAAACAAGATTGTAAGTGTATTCGGTGACTCCGCGTCTTGAAATAGTAAATATACGCTCACTGTGGCATCGCCGAGTAATACTAGAAAAGACGATTCCGCCGCGGAATATATCTTCATTAGAAAGAAAGACCATTACATTACAATTGAAGTCATGACCTTTCCGCTTTTGTATGGTGGCTTGGTAGTGCAAAATAACATCTCGTAATCTACGTATTCGACCTAAGGGAGACGACATGCAAATACGTCGGCGGCAACCAAGCAACATGTCATCTTCTCGCTCCTTCGTTGTCGTATCCATATCTTCTTAATAGACTCTAGACTGATTAAGAGATGCAGTGAGCTTTCTGTAATATTCCATAAAATGTTTACAGAGTGACTGAAACGTTGCTTATTATTAACTGTTCTTGAATTTATGCACAGCGTATAGTTCTGGTAGAAACCTGGACAATGATCAGCAAGCAGTATATGGTAATAGGGTGGGGATCTAAACCGTTCCCATGTTCTGACCCAAAGACAAAGTCCCCAATGACAGGAATAAACCTTTTGGTCCAGTCCAGCAGCAGCAATTGTTTATATGGTTATTAGGTAGGGATCTAAAACAAATTCTGTTTGAATACAAGAGCCTAAGTACCCTGGGGTGGTGTCAGACCCGTGAACCTACCTGATAGTATGTGTATATATAAAGGACACTTAATTTACATTAATTGACAAATTTAAAAATGAACGTAACAAGGTCAATTTCATATCTTGTAATTTACGTATTCGACCTAAGGGCGACGACGCTGAAATACGTCGGCGGCAACCGAGCAACATTCATCTTCTCGCTCCCTCGTTGTCGTATTCGTATCTTCTTATTATACTCTAGACTGATTAAAATAGGCAGTGAGCTTTCTGTAATGTTTCATAAAATGCTTGTTTAGTGACTTATATGGTAATAGGTGGGGATCTTAATCGTTTCCATGTTCTGACTCAAAGACAAAGTCCCCAATGACAAGAATAAACCTTTTGGTCAAGTCCAGTAACAGCAATTATATATATGGCTATTAGGTAGGGGATTAAACCCCCTTTTCTGTTTTAAACCAATAGCCTAAGTACCCTGGGGTAGTGTCAGACCCGTGAACCTACCTGATAGTCTGGGCATATTTATCACATGATACCTAGCAATCGTTTATATTTGCTCAGAGATAAGTTCTTGGGACGGGTAACAAACTGATGGGAGCTGACCCTGGAGTTAATCCTAGTAGCACAGTCATATGGGATTGGGGTACGGTCCCGCCCTCTCCTCTCGACAGAGGAAGTCAAAGTGTAAAAAAATCCATGCTTCTTGATTTAATTTGTTTGTGTTTTAAATCCAATTAAAATCTATGGTAAATTAAGTATGAACCAGTTTTTCGATGGTGGAGGTAATCACTTATAACCTTATAACTTAAAATCCTAATCGATCATCACTTCCAATCAAGTGACCGATGATCGACTAATGATCAATCGAATTTAAATTATATTTTGTCAAAGCTAAATGGAAATAAATCCTTAAAATTGATTAATACTTTGTCTATGCCCATACTGTATCGTACATACTAGTACTTAGTGGTAATATTGTTGATTGGTGTTATACTTCCGATTAAGTAAGAGAAAGGGAAAGGGTTAGCGGAAACAAAGTCAAGACAAAACAAGTTATGAGTAAGACAAATCACTTTTGAGCCAAAGCTGACAAACACTGTGTGAGCTGTAAAATATCAAATTTATCAACAAAATTGTAAATGCCTTTTCGTATGATTACAAAACAAAAATTGGAAATGTAGAGTAACGAAAAGTCAACATCGATCTGACTAGTAATACTGTTTAACAAGAACTCTTGCTTATTGTAAATGACTAGAAAATTACTTTTAACAAAACTATTTTAAAATGCTTGTAATAATAAGAGTATTGTACAGTAACAATTGGAACAGATAGTTAACTGTTTGACTGGTTAGCTGACAAAATAATCAGAATACTGCAGAGTCCAGAGAGTTTTCAGTCTTGAAGAGGGAGTATTGTACTACCAAGTTCAAAATGTTTTCAATTTTTTATTTTTTTTGTCAACATTAAAATATATGTTTTTACTAATTAAACTCCCTGCACAGCAAGGTAACGTTTTGCTACTCTTCTGACACGCGGAAAATACATTGCATTTTGCTTACACCAGGTAAGTGGGTTAATTTTAATGTCAAAGTCAACATGATTCTCTGCCAGGTATCGGTCAACTTCTTGTGCACCAGGAATTTCATCTGAGAGTTTTGAAGGTTTCTAGTCACAGTAAATTGTGTCATCTAACTAGTTGTCAATGCCATTATTAGCAAGCTTTGCTTCTTTGCAAAGAGGCTCTGTGTCATTGGGTTCATCAGGGTTTACAACAATGTCAATTTTATTTCCAGATGCATGTTCTCCCAGTGTGGGTAAGGTTGGTAATGGTTTCTGGACATTCCCAACCTCCTCATGACCATCATTCTTTTGAGATTTTATTTTCACAGTTTTAACCACATTATCCTGATCATACAGAAGCTGTTTCGCTCTATCTCACTCATCATTTGATAGAAACAGTAGATGTTTTGTTGAGGGACACAACAGAGATGCCAGCAAAGCCACATCTTGGTCAGCTGAGAATCTATTCTGTAGTTATTTAGCCATCACCCTTTTTACAGCTTTGAGTCCGTCATCTTGTGTCGGATCCAAGGCCTGTTCTAGCTTTTTTATGATTGGAAGAACATCTGCCGATAGTTTCTCTGTAGCAACTTTAAAAGGCTGCAGCAACTCCATGTATCCGTTTGCAAACACAGTTTCATCTAAGCTGAGTACTTTGTGTCGCAAACCCTGAGCCCTCTTCGACAGGGATTCATCCAAAACAGTCGCATGGATAGTTGGTGTTTTCTCACAGTCTTTCAATCATATCCAGTGTAGAATCCCATCGTGTTGAAACGTCTTGGATTAACTTATGTTTCTGAGCTTCCTTATTAACCAACTGTCTTTGTTTTTCTATAACAACATTAAAGGCCAGGGGACTCTGATGGGTAAATGTGACTACTGCCCTTCCCTTTGCAAGCAGTTTGTTGATTTCTGGAGTGCCAAAGACTTTTTTTCACAATTAAGTTAATTGTATGCCCATAGCAACCAACTCTTGTTAGTTTCAGCAGCTCGAAAGCTGTTTTCTCATTTGCTGCATTGTCGGTAACACAAATTGCCTGTGCAAAGCCTCACTTCTCTAGGGTGGTCTGTAAATGTTTTGCAATGTTTTCAGAGGTATGAGATCCTGGAAAGTGATCTGTTTGAAGTACAGCAGACTTAAGTCCCCATTCATTATCAATATAATGTGCATTGACTGTGTCATAAGACTGGGTGTTTATTGAAGTCTATGCAGCATCAGCTCCCATCATATCAACTATGAGTTTGTCCCTCAGTGGTTCGCACTTCTCATTAAGTTGTTTAATAAGTAATGTTCTGCCAGGAACATCATATCTCTCATCCAGTTCCTTAGAGAACGCCTTGAAACTGTCACTTTCCACAAAGCTAAAAGGAAGCAATCTGTTAACAACCATATCTGTTAAAGCAGAGTCTATCTTTTTCTTTTTCTCTGCAGTCAGGGGACGTTGGTAGGTATTGTCCTTTTGAAAGGATGTTATTTTTGGTTGCTGTTGCCGTTTTTGATTGGATGAATTTTCTTGAACAACCGAGTCGACAATCCTGCCCTTGTGTTCATGGTCCAAATGAAAGGACATATTAGTGGTGTTGCCTGGAAATAGCAAAAAATATTTTATTAACACCTTTATACATTATACATTACTTTTTGTATCACTTTCATTAATTCATAAAAGAACAAATTGATTTTTTCCCCTTCAAACTTTTTTCTTTCAAAAGTTAAAACACATTTTTTTTGAAAATATTTTCTAGGTTCGAGATTTTGATCAAACGTCGTCTGCTTCGCAAACATTCAAGAAAATAATATTTACAATGTATTGATATTGTTTGTATTAACTCGTTTATTCTTTAAAATATCTTTAATTAATAAATATCAAGATTTTGTGACGTAACCGGAAGCGCACTTGATACGAGAACGTGACCC